GGAGGTAAGGTATGTCTTTAGTCCGCTTGAAATTTCATATTTTTTTAGACTTGGTTACTAAGGTTGATAAATTATAGTAGAATTCCATTGTATTAATATAGTAATTTATGATTTTTTTTTTATTCAAATGTACATATAAAACCTAAAAAAAAAAAAAATTATTCTGTTTCCTATCCTCCACGTGCAAAATTTTATAAGGCTCAGAAACCTAAGTCAAGAAGCAAACGAGTACAAAGGTCTTAACTATGAGAGATAATTGTTTGCTTTACTTCTTTATTTACTGTTCTATGTTTTAAAAAAATAAGTTGAAGAACTTATTTAAGAAGAGCAATAATCTATATACATATATATAATTTATAATAATTGAAATGTGACTATTTTGCAAAATAGTAGTCTACTAAAACACAGGCAAGACAAGTTACTTTGTACCCACCAAAGGTCAGTTTTATGTTATTTGATATGGTAACATGAGTGCACATGAGCCACATCATTGTAACTTCAGTACTGTTAGCCAGGCATGGCTGAAAGGTCAATATAATAAAAATAATAAATGTATAATGTTATGAGATTTAAGCAATTTAACCTAAACATTTATGTATTCGTGATATAATTTGTGTTCATTTTAGAATGAAAGAGGCATAATTTATATTTATTTCCTAATTCTTTATGGTGGTTACAAGATCAGCCAAATATACCAAACCCATACAGATATTAATTACTGAAAATAACAAATAAAATATAAAGTTTTTCTTAAGAAATGTTTGATAACTATGTGGACATAATAAAGATTTTGCATGTGAAATTTGAAAATTTTCTTAGCATAGCATTACATCACAGAGTAAATTTTATTGAAGTATTAACAAACAGGTCTTAAATTACTTAACAAATTTGATAAAATACATCAAAGTGACTAATAACGTTTCCAAATCAGAAAAAATTAAAGTATGAAGAAAACACATTGTCTAACCCTAAACACCACTTCAATTTTTATGCAGTTATCAATGAAAGTGCCTTGCTTTTCTGTTGCAACACTCCTGAGATTTTAACTAAAGAAAAACAAATAATTTTTTTTCATTGTTATATATTTGAAACACTCCTTTTTTTGTGAATTTTATTGGGTTAAATCTGAAACTAACTCCTTTTTGTTTGTAATTGTTATTGGTTAATTCTGAAGCTTACTCCTTTTTGTTTGCAATTGTTATTGGTTAAATCTGAAACATATCATTTTTGTAGAAATTTCAACTGTTTTATTTATTGCTCAACTATAAAAATACTGCCTAGTTATAAAAATATTACCCACTTATGAGTGATGATGATCGGTATGGTAGTTTCCGAGATCCGAGTTTTGACGTATACATCACAAACACCATTATAATAAGATTTAAAATATTTTTTTCATATTTCATATTTTTCATATTTTTAAATATGAGCATTAATAAGTATTAGGACTGTTTTTCTAAGTTTTTCTTCTCCTTCAGAAATTAATACTTTTAAGTACTTAACTCTTTTCAAAAGATTTAATACATCTAATACATAAATTAAAAAATTACCTAAACCACTAAACAAACCCATAAAAAACATTTATACAAGTTAAATAATTTTATGAAAAAAAATCTAATAACAGATTAAGTACTATGTGTAGTGCACCAATATCAACTAGACTAGGTAAGTAAGATATCTATTTAAGTTCAAAATATTTTTAATAAATATCCTTTTTCTTGAAATTTTAGGAACAAATAGTCTGAAGGTATAATGTTCCAACCATATGGCAACCAACTAACTAGCAATGGCAGTCTATAACAGCCAACTCTCAGGATATAGAGAAAAGGGAGGCCAAAAAAGTGATGGTCAGATGAGGTTTCTGAAACCCTGCACAAACACAATATCATTCTCACAAAGACTACCCACCTCACTTAGGAAAGAGGACTACATCTTCCAGCAATCTAACATTCATAAGCAGCTGATAAAACAAACATACAACAAATGTCACAATAATGAAAATGCTATTTTACTTAACAGGGTTTAAGAAGTAAACACTCCCATCCAAACTTCCAACAATCAACACAAAAAGACAAAGAAAAAGCAGAAATGAACATTTACAACGAATTAGAAAACAAAACATCCTATTTGGAGTTTGGACGATCTATTCACATAGTTGAGTAAGAAAATGAGAAATACCAAATCAGCATAGTTCTACAACAAAAAGATGTTTTATGTGTCAATTATCAAACTATTTAATTTTTTTAATCATTTTTTTATGTTGTGAATTTTCAATTTAATAAAAAAATTACTTTCATCAACAGCTAAGAAAATTTCCTAAAGACACTTGTTTTCATGCAGAAAATATATTAATAAAAATAATAATTTATTTGCACAAAGAACTTTACATTAATTTATCGCTCAGCTGTTTGCAATTCATTGTGAAGTGTTCTATATTTGTGTGAACAGTTGCAAATCTGTAAAAATTATTTTGGTTTGGTGGTGCGTTACCAATACTATATTCATTATCTAAATCTCCCTTTAATGACATCTAGTTATTAAGTAACTTAAGATTCTTTTATCAAGCTTAGATACAGTTAGTTTTACTTAAAATATGGTCAATTATACAAGATATTTACATTGTATCTTGTTTATACAATAGCAGTTTTGACTAAACAATGTATATGTAACTTAATATACTGCACATGTATCTTTGTAATTTTCACTCTGCTTTAATTTATATTCTTAACATTTATTGTTGTTAAAGGTACTTATCAATGCAGATAATCAGCCCAAATCTAAGCCACAATATTTGACTTTGAATTTTTTTTGTTATCATTTCTGTCCTCTGTTGTTTACTGTTATATACTGAATAGGAGTATTTACTTTTTAAACCTCAATGGGCAAAATATTTTTTCATGATTGTTGCATTAAATCTTCAAATTCTATCTTTTTTTTTAGACAAAAGGATATCTATTACAGCATTAAAAAAATAATGTACATTTACATATGGATAAAGATTACTTGTAACACTAACGTTCGTGAGAAACACATTTTTATGGAGTTAAATATACCCTAAGTAATTAGAAAAAATATTCTAAATTTCCAATTGCACTGGCTTACCAAATGACACTCATAGCTTGTATATTTTATACTTAAATAATTCTTAAACGAAAATTTTTTAAATGATTTTCAAAAGCAAAAATATTGTATTGAAGGTAGAAATCTTTTTCATATATATATATATATATATATATGTATATTTTAAACTTGATTTAAGTTTAAAACCTTTCTGCTATTGTATTTAAATAGATCAAGTTGACCCAATATTTAGACTTTTTCAAAAAAAATTCATTAATACAAAAACTAAAAACGTTCAAGGTATTTATTAAAATTGAGCTAAGTTACAAAGTCAATAACCTGTTACAAAATAAAACTTGAGTTATTGTCAACTAAGAGCCATTTCAAGCTTTATATTCCACAATCAACTTCTTAACTCCTAACAAGATTACAAGTTTTGTCAACTGTATAAAAGTCTAACAAAAAACATACTACGTGTTTAATTAAAAAAAAACAATTCTTTTTTGCGGCGTTACACGTGATTTCCCATTTCCACAAAAATATTTATTCAATCGACCGCCATGATTTTGTAGCACCGCGTGAATCGCCAATATGCCACGTACGGGCGAGCAGGAGCCAAAGATTCTTTCCCCACAGCAGGAAGTTTAGTTTCTATAGGCTGGTGTAAGCAAAAGCGGCTGATAGAAACTATCGATTCCGACTAAGGTAAGACGGAAATCTTTGATATGATGTGGCATTCAAAAACACGCCGTAAGGTTGTAACATGAAGAAAAATAATAATAAAATGGACGAAACTGCTAAAAAATGTCCATCAGGTATTTAATTAGTGTTTATGTCGCATCTGATATAAACAACTAAGTAAACAGAATACTGTACTAAAAACAGCTCAATTTACACCACAATAAATGTAACGAGCAGCCTAGGGTTTTGTATTCATCTCTATACAATCGAAATGTTCGCCAGACTTGTACACACGAATATTGGGAACGTCAAAAGAATAAGCATCATTAGTCGCCAACATCATGGTGAGTCGCGTGCTTTAAGAGAAAAAATTCTCAGTATACCTTACAAATAATCGTATGATGCAATATTTTGTATTATCAAATACGACTGATAGAAAAGGAAGTGGTTACCGTAAATTGGAAATAATAATTATTTTTCGCAACTAAAGTTATGCAGTTTTAAATATACATCAATTTAGCAACAATAAAAATCTGTAGTACACAATTGTAAACTTAATCTGGTAATATAAAACTGTTTAAGTAACAGATAACAACTGCATGTTAAATATAAGCACCACAAACTCTCTAAGCAATAAAATAAACCAAGTTTAGTTTAGAGAAAAAAAAATTTATACAAATAAGCTGCGACTACTGTATTTGGTATTTATGACAAAGCTACTAAGACTATCTGAGACCTAATTTTAAGCCACTTGAAAGGAAAGGCATCACCCACGTTAAAGTACTGACAGTTATTCTTATAACGCATTCACAACTTATAGTGCGGAGAATATTTTGTGGTACAGCACGGATTCGAAACGGATAGGAAATCCAGAGCTCTACCACAGGGCCCGACACGCGTCTATTCATTGTTCATTGCATATCTCTTAGGGCAAGTGAATCACTATTATTACCATGATAAAACTGATCATTGGATATTTGGTTAGCGCGATTTCCTAATCACTGACCTTTTTTTTTTAAATGATATTTCATCAATTTATGTAACCTGAAATATACACATATAGTTGCCTACTTTATTCAGACACAGTTAATGCAAAGGAAACTTGCAGTATTACATTTTGGCCGTTTAAAAACCTTAATGTTTTTTATTCATGAAATTGTGCATCATTATCATTAACTTGCTTCACATACACACGTCTAGTTATACTTTATTACTTCTACATATATTCTTTCCACAAACACTATCATGATAAATAAAATTATGCTCGTTATTTAAGACACTACATTTTCTGGGATCACAATTTACATAGAAATATACTGCTGTGGTAAGATCGGCCTTCAATTTATTCAGCAGATTAGGAGAGGAAAGAGAGGCCGACTGCAGTTGTCTTCAGCTATGAATTGTCAGTCAATGTAACGTAGGCGTTAGTTAATAAATGGCCTATGGAAAAATCATTACTAACCCCTCGGTCAATACAATACGACCAACACAACTAGTTTTTTTTGTGTTGGTGTAATGCGTCATGACTCTGCAGGTGGTGCCAGGCGTGAGAGAGGCTTTTAAACAGCGGCTCGGTTTTCTTTAGAAAGTCATTATTAATTAATTGGCGTATTTTAAATATTTTTTCTGTCGCTTTGCTTTTTAACACGTATATATATATATATGAAAATAGTCATGTGTATTTTCCAGATGCAAAAAATCTGATAAAAATTTCACCAATGTCAATAAACAATTTAAAAAAGTACAAATATTTTAAGAACGCATTAAAATTACGTTTTGCTTTTTTATTAGCACACTCGCTACATTAAGAAATGTAATCGTAAAAGTTTATGCGTGAAATAAGCGAGTTGCACTACAAATTAAACAAATCTCTCTTACATAAAAGTAAATAAAATATCTAAGTCAAACGTCATAAAAATACAGCGAAGGAAATAACAGATCACATTATTAATCACAATGAACATGAATTCAGCTTTACCATATAGACCCCACTCTTAATGAATCCTGCTTGCACGCAAATCTCTTTAGTAGAGGTTATCAATGGCTCTTGGCAAAAACTATTGAATTTAAAATTTTTCAAATCGTCACTCATGTACATTACATGTTTACAAGTGGAGTATAAACCTAGTAATCCCATGTTAACATCCTGTCAAGTTAAAAATGAGTTTAAAAATAAATGTATTGAGAACGGTTATCTTTAATTAACTTCCTAAAATAATGAATCTTTCCAGCCAGTGCAATGAGCTGTACACTACAATGTTGATTCAAATATTTCTGTTTGTATTTAAAACGAGAGCGAGCAAACAAGATATATCCTTTAAACTATTCATTTGAGATTGCATTTATTATATTATTATGGACCTACGAACTTGTATATTTATTCAATTTTGACTTGTATTTCGAAAACCAAAAATCTGTGACTATTGTGCCTTCAAAACACTGTTTTTTTTATAAAAAGGTGCAGGTCATTTCTGAAATCAGTAAGACATTTAGGGCCAAAGTAAACTGTGAGTCTATAGCAATACTGTCCATAAGCAAGGTTTGTGTCAGACTGAAGAAACATTAGGAAACAAAAGTATGAATATAATACAATAATGCAACATTCAGTCCACAGGTTTTTTGTGGGTTTTCAAAAAAAAATTCCTCACAAGCTTTTCCTTTGTAAAAACTAGGATTGCAAAGACTTGTATGATAACGCACTATTATTAATGTTTTCACATGTACTTTTAAACACCTCTACATCTGAACTACTAAGACTACACTGAAACTGGTTCAGTCTTCAAGCTTTCTTTGAGAACAATGCAGATGTATTGATCATTTTTCTCAGAAACATCCTTACTTTAGTACTTCAACTTCTAGCAAGCACGGCAGAATGGTCAAGAATCACGTTTTCTCTCCAACTTCCCAAGAGTTAAGTTGGAAAACATCTTTACTGGGCAAATTAAATCTTTACATCAGTTGAATGTGTTTATATATGTCGTGTGAAGCTTCTGACAAGCAAATTAATGATGGAGTGACTTTCTACTTTTGTTTGAAGTAAACTTGAGGTACAAATATGTAACTTGTACATACTCTTACCTTCTCTTTATACAAGATGCAAACACTAGCAGTAAATCTCTGTTTAGTAACAATATAAAGATCAAGTTTGGATATAATACTCATTATATAGTAAATAAAAATCACGTTTTTAGAAGTATTAAAAAGCTTCACTTTCCACATTATATTTTTTGTTTCTACCTTTTTTTTTTTACAAAAACACTAATGTATCATCCATTTATTGACAAATTATTTTTTCAATATAATATTATTGTGCATTCAACCCACTGGAAATTCACAAACTTTCAACTTTCCTTAAGTGATAGGTAAGACATGTAAATTAGAACCCATTCTTATAATATTGGTAACTGATAAAAAAATGCAATTCAGGGGTTTTTATGGGTCATAAATGATGAATGATTGTATAAGTGCTGAATGATTGAGCTCCTTTAATATACACAATATTTTGAAAACTTATTGAAAACAAACAAACAAAAAACCCATAAGAGTGTAAGGATGAAAATTAATAACATTTAATGTCAAATGGATCAACAGTGTAAAAGCCAGATTTTGTTCAGCAACATAAAATAGCACATAGAAAATATGCCATGATTAATCAATGTATACTTCAATTTTATACATCAGGGGTCACTTTGTTGTTAACTAATATTAGTTTTTAAAATATTTATCTCATAATTACTGGACAAAATGCAAAAAAACTCCAAGCTTTACAAGTCAAACAATCATAACTTTGTATCCATTACAAAATAATTCAAAGCAAAATAAAAGGTTATTTCAAGAATTATACTGCTTTCAAGTTTAATAATGCACATTTTATGTACTAGTAAATGCCTTTTCGCATGAAATACAACAAAATTCTTACTGTTAAATTTTTTTATCTTCAAATAAGGTATGTTAAACATAGCTGTTTTTGTTGTTTTTTGCTAATTCCTAGTTACTGAAAAATATTTTAAGTGGTTGATGGGTCATTCCTTCAAAAGTTTTACCTTTAAAAGCCTGTAATCTTATACTGTATTACACAAACAACAAAAACTCAAATGACAATCTGTCAGAGAAATTAGCCAATCTCAATTGTCAGTCATAAATTTTTCTATGTTTTTATGCATAATGAAAGTTACTTAACAATTTCAGGCTGTATTGCTATTTGATTCACTTGTTTCAAATCAATCATAAGCTGGTGTACTTACCCATCACCTAAACTTTGAAGATCTGGAAGAAGTTCACTAAGTACTTCTGGTAGTATCTTAATATACATCTGCATTTTTCTTCTGATGTATTCCTCTTTTAACTTCTTTACATGGCGCCTGAACATTTTCTGAGCATTATTATGTCCAAATAAGTCACAGTAATGAAGAAAATCTGAGTTTTGGGCAAATTTTTTGCTCACGCTACTCCACACTGCTTTGTAGTCTGTTACCTGAACTCGTACGAGTGATTGGTAGGCTTCTGTTGCTACATCCAACACCTCTTTTCTACGCTGTGCAGCTTCAATAAATGGCACAATTTTAGACTTGCCTTTGGTCCTATCAATCATCTGAGCAAGTACAAAAAAGGCTAAGTCAACATTAACATTTTCATGGGCTGAAGTTTCTACAATTGGAATGTTCCCTTTATATTCCTTCCTATTAACAAGACGTTCAGCTTCTTTGATGTAACTATCCCTAGCTTCATCACTCTTTGTTGTGGCCAGCACAATAGGCTTTTTTGTCTTCACTAAATTGTTTAAGATAAGACTTGTAAATTCCACTTGTTTTTCAATAGTACGGCCTGGCACATCACATGTATCAAACACACACACAAACCCATCTATGTTCAATTTCCCCTCTGGAATCATTTTCTGTTCATATTCTTTCTCAATACCTATGACAAATATGGAATATTAATACTAATTTATAACTATCTTTTCTGAATACATACACACTAAGCCTATAATTACACTAGAATATTCCAATTACATTTGTTACATCAGTTTACCTGTTACAGTTTTGTTTCTTTGAATGTTTTAGGTTTCATATAATTTTTCAGAGCCCAATAAAACAATCAGAGGTAATAAATTTTTAGAGCTTGTAATTTTTGTGATGAAAATAAAAAATAACTATTTTGTTTAGCTAAAGATTAAATTAATAATATAACTCAAATACTTAATACTGCATAAAATTCACTAATGCACATAACTCAGAGGTCTGAGCAAAAAAAGGAAAATACACATCCAACCAAACAGACACAGTATATTACAAATCTTAACCTAGGATGAAAAAAAAAGACAAAATTACATCTGAAAACATCAAGTACCAGTTTAAGAAAAGGTGTAAGTAAGAAAACTTATTTTTCTGTATATTATAAAAACCAGATATTTTTTGTTTCAAATCTACAAAAAAGACCAAAGATATTTCATTTTCAAAACCTATGTAAATTTTGCAAAACATTGCATAATAATCAGTTACACAATTTAAAACCAAACGAAAAAGAGCAGTAGGATGAAATATGATCAAGTGATTTAGTTTCACTTTATATTTTCTTATTCAACTATTCACCTGTAAAATTTAAGAGCATTTATCACTTCATTTGCAGAGAAAACATTTTTTCACTGTATTTATGCTGATTTTGTTGCTACTATATAAATGCTCCAATATCTTCACTTTTTACCAAGCTTATAATGAATCTCTTAAAATACTTTTACTGTACAGGTAAGTAACAGCATTATGGTATACTATAGGAGTTATACTACACATTTTTCCTACTCAATATTATAACACAAATTAGAAATAACAGATTGACATAGCATTAATTTTGATTTTTCATGTTTATATGTAATTTGACAAGAGGTAGAAGAAAATTTGTGGTCTATATATTAACAATAAAAGAAAGACAAAAAATAGAACTGGACAATTAGTGGAATTTTATGACATTAATCCATAATTTCATTATGCTAATTCATATTAGAAATAACAATGATATACCATTGATCTAGATTCTTCATGTTTATGAAGAATTTGACAAATTGTATAAGAACATTTGTCATTTACATATTAGTAAAAAAAACAAAGATGAAAAGCTGATCTGGGTTATTAGTGGAATTGGTAATCAATTAATCGTTGTCCTCTTTGATCAATTATATTAAGCTGAACGTACTCACTTGAGACTTAGATAGTTAAAATAACCAAAAATAGTACTATTCAGAAGTTTTGATTAGTTGATCATTTTTGTATCATTAAGCTAAACAACCTTTAATTAATTAAATATAGTAATGAAAAAGCATATTGGCAATATTTTGAATACTAAGTAGTTGGAATAATTGAAAACAGCAATAATCACAAACACTAATTTTGTTGAGTTAATTATTTCCATAACACTAATGAGCTTAATTGTAATTTTTAACAAATAAGCTTTCCATGGCACTAACTGATGCACTTGATGCCCACAGATGATTGTATCAAGTTAATCACTAATGATAAGTCCTCTTAGAACTTTTAAATGTGTATTGAAAATTTTGCTTAGAATGTATAACATCATTATTATACCAATACTTTTCTAGACATACAAAACCCCACAAAATCTGCTTTCTTTGAAACATAATTCTACCAATAATAAAATTTAATTCCTGAATGTATTTAGTAATAACCAACCAGCTCAGTCATTATGAATATAAACAAACTTGAAAACAACTTTACAACTTGAAAACCAGTAAACTACACACACACACACACACAGCAGCTCTTCTAATCAAGCATTTTCTCAGAAACTTCTGGTTATTGTTTAGTACCTCCCAACTTTACAACAATTATTTAATACATCAAATAAAGGATGGTTGTGTGCAAACTACTGTTTAAATTTTTTATTTTCTACTTCTTATTTATAGTAAATATTAGGCTTGTAATTTGTTTCTGTGTTACTGGTAGGACAAAAACTAAAATTATTGCAATCACACAATCAAAAAAGTCAAAATACCAAAGTTTCTCCCTTAAGTCACAATACATCACCACATATATATATAATCAACAAAAAAAGGAAAAATTTCCTACACAACGATTACATTAGGACAAGTAGAAAAAAAAATACATGTTTAGCATCCCTGCCCACTTCCTTTTTTGAATTAGTTTTTCAATCGTACAAAGAAACAGACTTGTGAATAAAAATGAGATGAACACGGTTGATTGATTTTGCACTTTTTCTTTGTCCTAAATTCTGTATCATTTTGATGAAAAAATGAAACAAAGAAGACTTCTGTTGGACATGGACTCTTTAAAAACAAGCAACAATCATGAAAAAAAGGGACGCAAACTTTCTCTCAAAGATGCCATTAAAAAAAAAATTGGACACTAAACAATTTTTTTACTTGGCTTTACATCAGGAGTAAAAAGGAGAAAAGGACTTGTAGCTCTTGAACTATCTGTACACACCTGTTAAATGTGATATATCAATTACCACTTTTGATATCTCATAAATCATCATACTTGGATGGTGTCAACAAATCAAAACCTGACTATACAAGTTGATATGAATTAGTCTTTCTTCATTCTTGCTTTAAGTCAAATAAGATGAATGATACTTTAACATAGGTTACTTAGAGCTAAATCTACCTCCTTGGAAAAAAACAGTGATATTCTGGCTATATCATATCACTAAAATATAAATAAAAAAACTGTATGGAATAACAGAAAAATATGATTTGAACAAACCAAACATTTCCAAAGATGATGAGTTGTTTTTTAAAACAGGTAACTTACTTCCCACTACTCTTAATAAGGGAGGACTTTAACTTAAGAAAACATGAAACATGAGCACTTACCTAGCTGGTTTTTACAGATATACATCAGTTTCTCAGCAGATGTTAGTTTTATAGCACTACATCTTTTATAATAAGGATCTGTTTTACCACTCTTGAAAGGTTGAAATGATGAATCATCAATGAATTCTGTTTGTTCAACCACATTGAAAGTGAAGTCTACTCCTTCCTCATTTGTTTTAGTTACTTCACCCCAGTACAAAAAATGATCATTGTTTACTACACGTCCACTAAAGTCTGTCTGGCTCAGCACCGATATATGGTCCACATAATAATCATCAGCAAGATGTCGAACAAAGCGGTTACACAAACATGATTTCCCTACCCCTGTACTCCCTTTCTCTTTTTCTGTACCTGAAAGTCCTACAACAGCAATATTGAAGGTTCGAGGCACATCACACTTTTTGGCCATTTCCAACAAGTGGTACAGCCTTGAGAACTCCGATATTGGTTCTCCTAAACCTAAAAGTCTGGTAAAAGCAATTAAATACACTAACAGTTGTAGAAAATGGGGCAGTCTGGTGTTCTTGATGAACACCTTTCTATATGCACTTAGGAAGGCCACAGAACGGACTTCATTTCTATAAATGATGCTCACATGGTCTCCATGACAACACAAAATGGTTTGCACTAGCTGACCTCATTATCTTGCATGAAATCAGGATGTTCTTCTCCAGAATTCCATCTTATACATACAGAAAAAAAATGTATAAGAGAACTGAATTTTATAACAAAACAAAGCAAAAAAAAACAGCACTATCAAACTTGAAAAAGTGATTTCTTCTTAATCCTATACACATAAATACAGATAATCCAAACATGACATACATTTAAAAATAAAATAAGCTGCATCAAAACAATAAATGACATTTGCAGTATAATACAACAACCTGGATACTTCTTCAATGACTCTGAAGTACAAGTTTCACTTAAAGTATATTAGGGTCTATGTAGACATAAAATACTGTACTCTTTCATGAAATCCAACAGTTAATATGTTTACAGTTACAAGCATTATCATAGCTATAGTCCATATTCTACCAAGCTTAAACTTGAGTTCCAAGCTACAATTTCCAATAATGTGTGTGTGTGTGTGTTTGAATGAGTGAGGGCATATTTAAAAAAAAAGAAACAAATAGGGATACACCTTGATATACTTATACCTAGTTATGGCCCTGTTTGCAAAGTAAAGGCTAGTGTACAATATATACTTTCAAAGCAGTTATAAAAACATACTTACATACGATTACTTCTTGGAAAAATGTCAGAAAATATTGCAAATATTACAGTTATGTAATGCATATTTTACATCACAACATTAAATGTATTTGAGTGCACACAAATGGTACTTCAGGTATATCTTTGACAGACATAGACCTAATCTAACTGATGAATTCTGGCATTAAACAAAAGGCCTTGTAGCAGAAAAAAGCAACATGAAATAACATTTTTACACATATCCGATTAAAAATTTCAAACGAAATAATTGGAAGAAGTTTAAAAAACGAAACGCCTGTAGTAAAAAAAAATATTACAAAACCACCATGTCAAACTGGCCATAAATACTTCAAAATTTATAAATCTAAAATAACTTACTAAAAATGGCAAAAAGTGATTACTGTCTACAGTAAAAAGGAGGCAATAGACTATTAACAGCCATAAACTAATACAATAAAAAGTTATCTAAAAATAGTGATACAAAAAATTGTGTATTCATTCTTATATGAGCATTGTGACTTTGTTAAAATTCGTAGAAGAGACCTTATACAAAAACCTTGCCCCACTGAAACTAACAGTAACGGTAATACAGTTGTAAGGGATATTACTGCAATAACAACACCTCTGTAATGAAATTGTCAGAAGCTAAGTAACGGAGGCTACTTCTAACCTCCTACATACCCACCACATGGTTTCTGCACACGCCAACACTATTACGTATGGAACAGTAATAACAGTTAGAATGACGCCATAAAATTGCGCTATGCGCAAAACAAGTTAGGAAAGGGGATTTTCACGAGCAAGAGGGATTCGCGATCTTTTTATTTATTTATCTATTTGCGATAGTTCGCTAGAATTATTAGTATGTCATTTCTAGGAGTCAAACAGCCATAAAAAAACAACAAAAAAGAATCAACGATGAAGTTCCAAGAGACTAAAGCACACCAAATCGTGTAAATCAACTGGCTGACTGATATTAAGCTCAAAGAACAATGTGGGGAAAACTTCGTTTATTTTTAGTTGCTAGCTTTGTAACAGAACTGTAAGAACGTTAGAGACGCGACTTTAAAGAACACGCACGCTGTAACAAAATATCAGAATTCCTGAAGTTAATACAGTCATACAATTGAAAAAGATGTCGTCTTTCAATATTTACGGTTTATCTTTGTTTAATGTCCCAAAACATGCAAGTACATCGTGTTTATCAGAATATAACTAAAAGGGTGGTAATATATAACTGGACCAATAATCAACCCCAAACTTTTTCTGCGCTTCGTCAACAAAAGTAAAAAGGTATTTATTTATTGTTTAAACTTTTATTGTGTATTTGCTGATTCTGTCATTGTATGACAGTCAAACCGAGGTAACTCGCAGTGTGATGTATTTTTATAATGTACTAAAATTTTAAAATTCGTGTTTGTCTTCGTATTTACGATACGTTAACTGGCTCATGCAGAAACTACCAACAACGAATTAAATTAGATAAACTGAAAAAATTAATTTCACCGTTTTACATTTAAATCACATTTAGATTTAGAACAAGGTACTGAATTTTTAGAAGTCAAGGCCAAAGTATATAGATGTTTGTTGGAGATCTAGGATTTCAGAATTCTAATACTTAAAAAATTAACTGGATTACCAACAATCTGACTTTATTTATGCAGATAATATTACGTTAATACAATTCACATTCCATAAATTTGTTAGGGGAAAATATTTCAAGAGTCAAGGCTCAATGACAGAGTACACTTAAAACACGTATTTCAATCAGACAGTCAAGACAAAAACGATTAGAGTCGCAAAAAATTTAGACAAATAAAACCAAAGTCCAAACAACTAATATACACATTGGTTCATTTCTACTGTACGTTAATTTAAAACACAACTGTTGTTTTATCTGCCAATATAACACACACAGAGTTAGAGCAGTATACAAGTCCTGTTATTCTTCTCGAGTGTGTCAAATCACTTTCACACTAATAAGAAATTAACACGGGTAACACTAGCGACCGTATTGTAATTCTCTTTCCACATCGCTGCTCAACCTTAAAACACTTACACAAAATATAAATTCCTTTTGAAAATTCTTATTACTTTTGCCAATTGTAATTCATGTGCCATCCCCCACCCCCCATCACACGTATGTGTTTAACGTGGTTTATTTCAACATTGATTTTTCGGATAATGAATTTCTCTGGTATTTTCCTACAGAAACACGCATTATAAAATCTTTGCCAACCCCTGGTGTTCATCGCAGTGTATGAAAGCGAAGCGATAATCTGGGTCATGTGTAGCCCTTGAAAGTACTTTCTCTATCGTTTACATCCCCTCCCAATGGGTCAGCGGTCAGTTTACGAACTTACAAAAATCCGAGGTTTAATTTCCCAAGGTGGGCAGAGCGTCGGTTGCCTATTGTGTTAGATGTGTTCAATGTGATGACCATGATTGAGTACTACTGTCCAACACCGCAACTTACATTATAATAAATTTCTGCTGTGATATGGGGGTATGTCATATGTTTTCTACCTGCTTTAGTGATATAGAGATTTGTAACATTTTTCGGTTGTTTTCTTTTCGTGCTATAATAGCGGTAACTCGTGGTCCCGAAAATCGTTATGATTATCGTGCTTCATTTCTTTGTTCTCTACAGTAAATGATGTTTCTTCTGCCCGAGAGGATATTGCAGTAATATACAGCATCCGGATTAAAGAATTGGTATTGTAATATCCTTTGCTGGCCAATTATGACGTTGACTATATTGTAACAGCCTACAAATGCTGTGAGTAAACAAAGGCTACAAAGTGACACTGGCGACTGGACAAAGAAATCGAGTTTACCTGTTTAATTCAGGCGCTCTCTCTCTCTCTTTAGCCAGTTGAACTAGGATGTTATAGTGTACTTCTAAGATAATCGTGTTTAGTTCAACGGAAGTCTTAGCCTCATAGAGCATCTACGGGATTGAACACATACTAATATAAGCGACCGTCATTTCATGTGCCCAAGTAGGTAAGCTGCGTTTTTTGTTTTGTTTTGTTTGTTGAATAATAAAGATTGTTGTCATTTTTTCTACCTTGTCCTGTGTTATTTTTTAACACATCATGAAGACAGTCTCGATTAAGTTATCTGATCAGAATCACTCTCCTTATTTCCTGAATTAATCTGTAGTTATTTGTGGATCCGATCCGTCCATCTGACACTTGTCGAAAAATTTGCATATTTACTTGAAAATACCACACTGCAAAAGACGGCGAAGTCAATCTTGGACCTCACCTTTCATAGACATTCGACTGTGTGTGTATGTGTGTGTGTAGACAACGTCAATGTTGGCTTCCAACATCTAAGGAGACCAACGTCAGAAGTTCATTAAACTGTACCAAAAAACTTAAGATGTAGTCGGATGAGATTGTTGTGTTTCTAGTTTCTTCAGACATTTTTCTCATGATGAAAACAACTGTTGAATTCGAGTTGTTGCTGGAAGTTTGTGAACCTTTGTTAACTTCAAATCCATGTTTATTATCTCGCTAGCTGTACACCATAAGGAATGTCCAGCTTCGTCACAATGCCTCTCTGGGTCAAAAGTTTCTTCAATGCAACAAACAACAATGAAAGCTCACTTGTTCAAAATGTGTTATAATTTAACTGTATACCGCTTAACAATCTCGCTATACAAATTTCCTTCACTACACAAACAATGACAATACTCCAGCCGTAACCTACTCGTAGAGCCATTTCAGGGTTCGCTTTTGTGGCAATAACGCCATGACATTATCATATACGAATCACTCACAGTGCTATTAACGCAGTTTATTCCACTCTTTTCTTTAGATGTTAAACGTAACGTAATTAATGGCTTTTATTTACTTATTTAATCAGAGATATGAAATAGTCATACATCAACAACCTATATATGCTGAATTAATTTTCATTATCAGATGAAGTATTTATATAATCATGCACTACTACATACGAAGTCAGAAATAACAGAATCAGTTGGTATTAGATAAATGACTTCTAATTAATTACAAGTTGACTTATTCTTTCATTTACAATAACCTTTAACTACCATAACACAACTTCCTGAATAATTTTCCACCCTACGTTGTTCTTTCAACGGAAAAACAAAGGCAAAAGAGGCTTCAGATACACAAGAGTCAAAGACTGTACCTATAAAAGTAGTTTTAGCTTACAATCATGTAATATAAAACAACAAATATTTTACTTTATATAATTAATAATATTTGTTTGTACTTTTGTTTTTCAAAAAAAAGATACGCAGGAGTCTTCTTGGACCCCATGCAATAGTGTATGTTCTCAAGCCTAAACAAGTACAAGTCGATCTGTATCCGCGACATATTACTCTTAGTGTTATGTTATAAATCATTACGTCGTGTTGGTCTAAGTGTAACTGATTTACTGTCAATCTTATCATTTAGGTATTTCACACAGAGATAATAAACATAACTGTAC